GAGCCGCAGGGTATTGCAGACTTGACTCAGGGGAATGTCGAACAGGTGAACTGGATCCAGTCGAGTCCAAGCAGATTCGAATGTGACAGCCCCGTAATGTACACGACACCGTTTGCCCGAGCAGCGCCAAAAACCATTTCCCACTGCAGCTCACCAATGAGATTAAGTTGACCTCCTGAAGCGTTAAGTGCAACATGTGTCGTTCGGCTGATTGACCGAGCACCTATATACTGCCAAGTTTTGCTGGAGATAATTGTGATGTCCGAGATTGTATCTAGCTGAGGATGCACTTGTTGCCCGTTCAGGTGAACTCTGATGTACTTTCTGCGAGCCACGTTCATCAGAGTAAGCCGCTTGAACCGTACTATAGCTGCTGAATCTTTTGGGAACATTTGCATTCGGTCGCGTGTCTAGCACGCTTGAACGGTAGTCTGGATCGGCAGTGCGTTTCCTTATGACCCCGTTTATGACACTTGTGGCAAACATGTTTCAGTAATGGACACACTCGAGCAAAATGCCACTCACCACATCTCCAACAGGCAGTCGGGGGCTTGGGATTCTCTCTGGGCTTTTCATGGCCTGTTTCACTTGGAAGCGGTTTCTTTGAGGTGGTTTTATCATACACTAATACTTGGGGTTGATTGTTGCTTCTCCAGCATAAGCGTGTCATGCTTGAGGTTCTGCAATTGTTGGAATTCAGTAGTTATGGTCTGTAGAGTCATTTGCTGGTCCTGTTCAAGTTCACTGAGCAGCCTGGTTCGAATTTCTGCATCCCGTGGGGAATGTGGGCCACAAATAAAATTCAGGCATTTGAACCGATCTGTCGTGATTGATTTGATGTCGAATTTTTCGCACTCGCGATTGACGATGCCAGCGTAAGTGACCTAGTCATCAGCGTCCATCTTGGTGATCTTCAGGCATTGATATCGCGTGTTGAAGATGGTTGACTGCTCTCCAAATATTTGGCCCAAGCATTTGACAGTCTCCATAAAAGTGCAGTCTCGAGCGTTCTTAGGCAAAGTAAACTTGACATACCTGGAGGGCTCTGCTGTTCCAAGTTTCTTTAACAGCAATCGGACTTTCCAATCGTCATCATAGTCTCCAAGTCCAACGCAGAACACATCTTCATAACGCTTGAACCAAGATTCATAGGTGAGGCCAGCATCAGGATCGTACGAAAATTCGATAATGCTGTTAGTGATGGCGTCTACCGATGCGGACGGTTTGACGGTTGTAGACAGTGAATCGGTCTGGATTGAGAGTTGGCGCGTAAGAGTTTCGATCAGCCTGAGTTGGGATGCCTCAAATTGTGCTTGTTGCTGCAGCAGAATTGCCTTGAGCTCGTCAGCCCATATGGATATCTTGAGCAAGGTTCAACCCGTCGCCAGCTGAAGTATTCGTCTCTCGCCTGAATGGATGTTTGATTCCCAATCAGAACCCGAAGTCGCTACCCCCCCACAGGACAAAGAGAAGACCGCATCAGACGAGCAGAGCAACAGGGATATATTAGCGAATCACACCGTTCATTATAAAGGTGGAGTGGAAAGTTCGTGAATGGTATTTAAAGCGTCCGTGGCAAGCTCTGGAAAGGTCAACATACAGAAATCAAGGAGCGCCACCCTCGCGTTAATTAGCCGCTTCTCCCGGTTGGCTCTCTGTTCGCCCCAATGAGGGCGGGTGAGTTTGGATCGCCTGCCGCGGCGATGGTGTCTTGGCTTGTTCGCATCGCGTATTCCTTCCTAAGAGACGCAATACGAACAAGCCCAGACACCATCGCCGCGGCAGGCGATCTAAACTCAACCGCCCTCATTGGGGCGAACAGAGAGCCAACCGGGAGAAGCGGCCAATTAACGCGAGGGCGGCGCTCCTTGATTTCTGTATGTTGACCTTTGCAGAGCTTTCCAAGTACCATTCACTTTTCATTTCACCTTTATAATGAACGGTGTGGTACGCTAATACATCCCTGTTGCTCTGCTCGTCTGATGCGGTCTTCTCTCTGTCCTGTGGGGGGCCAGTGACTTCGGGTTTTGACTGGAAATCAAGCATCCATTCAGGCGAGGGACGAACACTTCAGCTGGCGACGGATATAGGATCCTGGCTTATTCGCATCGCTTATTCTTTCCTAACCGTATCTATGCTTATTATCTAGCGATTGAGCTTACCCAGTTGTTGATAGAACCCATTTTTCACCGAGTTGGCGCTGCAGTCTTTGCGGAGGTCAGCAGCAATGGTGAGCAAGCACCTGCTATCCACCGCGCCACTTCCAAACTTTAGACGAGCCAACCAGTCTGGTAGCGTACATCCGACTGTTGATTGGAATCCAATCAATCATTGCATCTCCAGCCAGAGGACTCAGAGCAATGCCTACACCGGCTTGATCGGTATTTGTTTCTACATCCTATCCTGTTGGACGCAGTGAGCAAGTACCGTCATTATCCCGTAAAGGGAGTCGCGAAGTGAGGATTGAGCTGGAATCTTGCAAACGGGGTTCCGACAAACAAGATATATCGGTGGATCGGGTCTCTTATGTTCGATCAGGTGCTGCCTTTTGACCGACTTGTAACGATTTGCGCACGTTGAGGTATGCCAGTTTTAGCAATGATCTAGGGCTGCAAATAGAAACGATGAACTGACACTGTTCGCTTGGTTGGATGCGGACTTGTCGGATGGATCGGAGCGATGTTCTTTGATTGCATGTAAGTTAATATTATGATGCCTGCGACTATCGAAGCAAACTAGAAGTGGGCCGAGAATTGGGTGCTTAAAAACAGGGAGGATGAAAGATAAGTTCGAGTGGGACGATAAGGATGAAAAAGTGCGAGAGGGGGATTGGAAGACGGGAAGGCTTGGCACTAGCATCCTCACCTATATCCACTCCGCTCGATGCAGAAGACAGATTGCCGTTGATTATTATCTGTGACTACCAGAGCACCAAGAAATCGTTTGAAGAAACGTTCACTGTTTTGTATGTACACGATAATGTCAGGTTGCACAGGGTTGACATTGACTATTAAGTGTCTGCTGTTGCTCCTTGAGCAGTCGAGAACTAGATCAGACCAGTTCGTTGTGTCAACAAGTAGGGTGGAGTTGATTGTGTTGCTTCGTACACCTTTGTGTACCCACTCACTGATAATAGCTTTGTTTAACATTCGAAGGGACCATTGTTGCCCAGGTACCGGGAAATTGTAGCCACTGTCGATCTCGTATGTTGTCAATCTGTCTCGTATTTCATACTGGAATCTACGTGACTCGCTCTGCGTTTTACTAGGAATGTTACGTTGTTTGACTGGCAGCCTCTTACCTTCATTGACGAAGACCTCGGAATGGATCACCTAATTGATTGGAGGCCTTACCAGATATGGCGCAGTCAAGCATTCATCAGTAGTCCCGCGCTCGCTCTCTTACATTAAGCCGTTACTATTTCATTCAGATTACTTGTGATCACTTTTTGTTACGCATTCACATCAGTCTTTTGAATCACCTATATTTAGCATTCACCGCACGGATACAACCTGGCTGAATCATGAGCGCATCTTTCTCTCTTAAGCAGCTAGCAGGTAGCGTCGCTAGACGGTTCAAAGTAAATGATCCCCAAAGGAAGAGTGAGGCAGTTAATGGGTTTATGACCTTCCTGTCGACCCTCTCCCAATTGACTAATACATTGTATACTTACTTATCTGTGAGACAAATATACTCTGTCTTCTACGATGTGTCTTTTGGTTGCATCCTTGTCTATTAATGGCTGACTTTTACCGGACTTCGCTTTTGGATTGGTATTTATGGTTTTAAGCCCCTTGGCTCTTTTTCGACTTCGGAATTCTGCTCAAGCTTAGCGTGCTGACACATCCCTGACGTTGATTGTGACCTTAGCTTTGGGTTGTGTAACAGTCTTGTTAGCGTACAAAGTAGCCATCTTTCACGACAACTGTCCACCCACATGTGAGCCACTATTCTTCTCTCTTGCTTCAGCAGCCAGTTTCACTTTTGCTAGTGATCTGTTTATTTGTAGGCCGCTGTTTACACTAACCTGCATTCTGATGCGACATTCTGGCTTTACGTCCAATTTTCCCGTCAGGTTCTTGAATATAGGCAACTATTCCACACACACACACACATGCACACACGGACGCACTGTGATTTCTTTCAGCATGCAATACACTCGCATCACCCTCGTCGACTATGTGACCTAGGCGCTTATATCATACGAACTCTACTTAGTTTCTCATAGTCCTTCAGCTTTATTTACTAAGAATCCATTGGAGTACTGAGGCTTTTGATTGACCTTTGATCTTTTAAATCCGGTATTCTTTCTGTTGAAAGCTATCTCCTAAATCACAAACTTCTAGTCCCAGTCGGTTCGAATCCGCCTAGGGGTGGGCGTCCTCGCGGTATACTCAGCTCACGCGCGACTGGGGGTAGTCGCGTGACAAAGATGCGTCATTACGGCGTGCAGCTGGCGATTTATTTATTTATTGATAAGCAACATCAGAAGTCAGTGACTATGACAAATATGTGTTCATTGCCACAGATGAGCATAACTAAGCTGAAGATAGCTCTATTTATATATTAATCCGGGGATCTTCGAACTATAGAGCCAGTTGTTGAAGTCAGTAGTACCAAGTCAGGTCATCTTTGCAAATGCTTGGGCGTCCTTGTGGTGTGAAATGTCTGGCTGTTCCTATGGAACCTTATCTGTTCAAATTGTTTTTTAGCGGAATACTGTTTTGATTAGAGAGCTATTTTTATCGGGTATCTGGCATCTTTGTTTTTATCCACACTTTATTTCACCTTCCGATCCATTTCATTGGTTTTTTGGGCTCCAGTGTAGACTATATCAGGATCATCTTTCTTGATTGTTTGCTTTATTACTTGTCATGGAGGTTTCCTGACAGCCTTGTTCTACCGACACGGCCACATTAATCACGAATACACCTTAAATGCTGCGTAGTTTCTTTCACTTGACTATCATTTAATTTTATCCTTGTCTTTAATTTCTCCAGAGCGCTAGCTTGGCTGGGCTGACGGATTTTTTGGAAAATATTCGGAAGCACTCCGTTCGTCTGGGTCTCATCGCAATGCGCGACACCGGCGAAGCTACTGGGATGGACAACAGCTGCTTAGTGATGACGGAGACGGAAGGACTAGATTCACAGTGCGCCTTCGTAGGACTGCCGAACGGGACCGATACATCTCTTACAGACCACTCCACAGTGCGCAAACAGTCGAGTTCTTCAAACGGTACCTCTGTTATCCATCATCTGGCACGAGATACTTGGTCTCTGTATTGATCCACTGAATATGCTTATACTCTTTTGCCTCACCGAGTACCTCATTGCGGCCGTTTTCATACTTAAATGTCGGCTGGTTGTCGAAAGGATTGCTCGTTTTCGTTGTAATTCTGAGGTCGCCGGTTCGAATACGCGTAGGTGCGAGCGACATCGCGGTATACCCAGCCCACGCGTGACTGGTGGTGCTCGCGTGGCAGTGAAGCATCGATATGGTGTGCTGGCGTAATACTGATGCTTTTCTTTCATATTTACATGGTATGGACAGAACGAGGAAGTCGCGCGGACGAGCGTAGTGTTCACCAGCAAGTGTTTGTATACTACTGAACATCTCCCTGATGAATAATACAACAGAAATGTGTTCATATCTTGTTAAGTACTGATACTGCGTGGTGCATACAGACTGCCTGCCACAGCCCTAGTCCACGCATCTGCTAATATAACGCTGTCTGGTCTGGCCCATCCTACCCAGTGATGGAGCATATTCAAAGCTGTCGGCCGGTGACCGAGTGGTCTTCGCGTCTGGTTTGCAATCCTAAAGTCACCGGTTCGAATCCGGGCGTTCTCGTGGTATACTCAGCCCGCGCGCGACCGGTGGTGGTCGCGTGGTAGCGAACCGCCATTACAGCATACAGCTAACATTTTGTTTGAATATCGAAGTTCATTTGGTCCACGTCACTTGGGTTGCACTTGGGCGTATCCATCTATCACGTGTTTCTTTTCCCATCTCCAGCTTACGATCCCAATTTGGCCGCGTTAAACACAGAATTGGAGGATCTGGAAAGGGTTATTTCTAATCGGCTAGATGAAGGTGAGAAGCCGATTGCTCTGTCTCCTGCGTTGGATTGCAATGAAGTTCGTTTCCGCACCGAGGATTTGGTCGACTTCGGTCCTGTGTATCGGTGCCTGTACATCCACACAGTTTTAAACGAGCGAGGGGAATTCGAGCGCTACTATTGTGCACAGCGACGTAAACAATGCCAATTATCTCTGAGTATCTCGTCCAACAAACAGGTTAGCCCCAGTGCATTTACTTTCTTATATTATCCCCATTAGTAGCATTGTCTGTTGACCAGACTTCTGATTCAATCATGTCGGATGTGATATCTGATGTTTTTGGTGGTTGTAGTCAGGGTCTAATCCAGTTCCTCATTTTACTTCATCTTCCTATATACACATTGTGTTCTGCCGAGCCATGCATCCCACTAACATGTCACTAGTCCATTCGCTTCATTCAGCAACGAGATCTACTCGTGTCCATTTTTTAGAAATTTTTGTTGCACTTTATTTCCCCCTTCCATTCTCGCCATGGTTCTGATGCCACAATTGCCACTCTCCACTCTTGTACAAGCATAGTTGGCAGCAACCGGTTCCGGATTTGTTTGTCATTGCGGTCTCCATGGGGACAGTCACAGGACGCCTGCATCTACACAGGGACCATGCATGGCTTGCGCTGCACCACCCACAGCTCCATCCACACACCCCATATCCAATATGAACCCGAGAGAGTAACACAGGGATTCATGTGGACTGGAGCCACGTTTCATCCACGCAGCCGGCCGACACTCCTTCATGAGGCACAGCAGCAGCATTCCTGTCTATCTATGTGGGGAAGTGTGCGTACCAGACCTACGCAAGGCGGTGGCTACGTCTTAGCCCGTTCCACACAGAATGCAACTACTCTTTGCTCCTAACAGAGTCAAGAGAACCGAGCACTCTGTTCCCTTCTGCCAGCAAATTTTATCACTCTCTTTAAGCCAGTAATCAAGGTGAAGAATGCTAGGCACGCTGTATTTGGGGAATCAAGCGCACACAAGGCGGTGGCTGGACCGTAGTCTGCTCCACACTGGGTGCATGGAACCACTCTTTGATCCTAACACGGTCACGAGGACCGTGCACCCTGTCCCCTCCAGCAACTACCCACTGTCTCCTGGGGCCAGTATGGACTGTTAGTGGGTACTAGACAGGTAGGAACCTTGTCAACATACACATCAAGCGCAACCATACCAGGGATATCAAACAGCAGCCAAAATAAATCGAGTAATGCATAAGGAAACGGTGATATAAATCTTAAATTAATGAGCATATAAAATTAGTTGTTTACAAAAGAATCCGAGATAAGTTCACGAGGTCGGAAAGTATATTTTACGAAAATGCTGCAAACACGAAAATGTTATCGAAATTAACTACAATTGCCTTAAGCGACGTATGCAAATTTAGTTTGTAGAAGAGATTACTGGTAGACATTTATATGAGAAAGGAAAGCATTAGGACGAAATTGCAATCCCACCATTTGAAATAAAGAGACTTAGCTTTCAAGCACGCGTTCAGTAAATCGAATGCAGCGTACCTACAAACGCTGCGCCGGTTCTGCCTACGTTCTTTGCAGGACCCGTCGTCGCTTCGGTAGTGGTCCCGAATGGCCTCGTTCATGGCTCACTAGGCCTGCCTGACTCAGGCACTCGCGACCGCATGTGCTACAGCACCATGCGCTCGATGTCGATGGAGTACAACCCATCGGTGCTTGCCGCTTCCGCATTTGCCGCTTCTTCTCTGCATGTATGAGGTCTTTCTCCCGCACTTCGGCAACTGCCTTCGTGATTAGATCGCGCCATGCACGCCGATCAACCGCCTTCGATTCCCATGACTTGCAATCAAGATTAGAACGTGAGAGGCTCACTTTCATCATGTCCTGGAAACGTAACTTTAGTTTCCCCACATGCCCCTTCCCAATACTCAGCTGACTGTATAAGAGTTGTTTCGGTATGCGCGTTGAACCCATACGGCTCACATGACCGAGCCACCTCAGGTGTCTCAGTAAAAGTATGCAGTCCACTGCATACATCCCACTTTGTCGCAACACTTCCGTGTCAGCAACTCTGTCTCCCCAAGTGATGCGCAAAATTCGTCGCAAACACTGCTGATGGAACCGCTCGAGATATCGCACATCCCGCCGGTACATCGTCCACGTTTCACTACCGTATAGAAGAACGGACAGCACCATGGATTTGTACACCATCAGCTTCATGCCAATGGTAAGCTGATGGTTGTTCCACACTCGGTACTCTAGCTTCCCGAATGCCGTCTCTGCCTTCGAGACACGGCTACGCAGTTCACTGTGTAGCTGCTGGTCAGTCGACATCACATTCCCAAGGTAGCAGAAGTGGGAGTTGGTTTCCAATACTTCAGCACCAATGCTGATTCGTGTCAATATTGAAGATTGCACTTCCGGTGAAGTCTGAAAGAGACAGACAATTTTGCTTGTGTTGATGGTGAGCCCGAATTTGGCCGCTGTCGAATCCAGAGCGCTAGCCATGTGCTGCAATTCATCCGCGCTGTGTGCAAACAACGCACAGTCGTCAGCAAACAGCAACATACGGATAGTTGTCTCACAGACTAGAGTTCTCGCACCGAAACGACGGATCTTCAATAACGCACCATCAATACGATGCTCCACACGAACACCGTAAGCACAAGCCGCATCAAAAGCACAAGACATCATTGCATGAAGATATATATTAAACAGGGCACGAGCTAAGACACAGCCTTGCTTCACACCAGAGACAACTGCAAAGTCATCCGAGGTCTCTCCACTCAGCTCGTATACCACTGTGCAGACATTCAATTAAACTTACAAGCTTACGCAGGCAACCAAATTTTCCCAACACCAGCCACAATGCCTCGCGGTTCACCGTATCAAATGCCTTGGTGAAATCAACCAAAAGCGAGTACAACGGCTGGTATCGTTCTCTGCATTTCTCCTGCAACTGACGAGCCGCGAACACCATATCTATAGTGCTGCGACCCGAGCGGAATCCACACTGCTCTTCCGCCACGTTAGGTTCCACAACCTGACTGACTAGGTGGTTGTGCAGGATTCGGGCAATCACCTTGCCCACACAACTCAGCAAGTTGATGCCACGATAATTCGTGCAACATTGCTTGCTCCCTTTACGCTTGTACATTGGTAGCACAAGGGCATCCTTCAGCTCATGAGGCACCTCCTCCTCAATCCATACGTGTTGCACCAAGTGGTGCAGCGCAGTCAACAACGCAGGTCCGCCGTGTTTCAATACTTCAGACGGGATCCCGTCGCCCCCAGCACATTTGCCGTTTTGCAGCTGAGCAAGTGCTCTCTGCGTCTCATCCAGTGTCCTCCAGACTTGTCTTCACATCGGGCTGCTTGATGCCGTTCATTGTAGGCCAGCCAATCTATGAACGGTTGTTCAAGAGACAGTCAAATTGTGCTTACCAGATCTGCATTATGTCTGCAGTCTGTGTGCAGGTAGCGCCTGAACTACCATCGATCAGCGTCCTCAGCGGCTCCAATCTCGGTTCATACACCGCCTTCAAGGAGTCAAAGAATTCCTTGTGTTGGCGGCGTTCAGCGCAGCAATTCATCTACTTTGCCTTCTCCGTCCACCATGCATTTTTTATGCGACGGAGCTCTCGGGTCAGTCACCGTCGAAGTTCGCGAAACTGACTCTTCTTCCTCAAGTCACTGGGGTCTGCGACATGTGCAGCAAATGCTGCATTCTTTCCCGACACCAATGCGCCAATCGTCGCATTGTTGTCATCAAACCAATCAGGCCGCTTACAGTTGCGCGCCCGATGGTTTCCTCGGCAGCAGCTGTCACCTGGTCGCGAATGTGGTGCCACAGGTCGCCCACTGTGGCTATGCAGTCCACATCACCACACAGGCGTGCAGCCATCGCCTTCTCCAGCTCAGTACGTTTCGCCACAGTACCGAGAGAGAGAATGTTAAATTTACGCCGATTCACGACAGGAGTGCAATACATAGATTTACGAAAATATATATACAGTTTGGTCCGCACCAATTTGTGATCAATGCCACACTCACGCATATCCCGCTGACGTACGATGACATAGTCGAGCAGGTGAGCGTGACCACTCCGTGGGTGCGTCCCAGTTGCTATATCACTCGCACTCAGTGCAAACCGAGTGTTCGTGATCGTCGGGCCGTGAGTGGCGCACAATGAGAGCAGCCTGTCACCGTTCGCATTCGCTGAACCAATACCATGCGCAACGATAACATCTGTCCACACCGCTGCATCACGCCCAACGCACGCGTTGAAATCACCCAGCAGAAATAGTCGATCGCCCCTCGGCACAGACCGTATCACGGAGGATAGCTGAGTGTAGAATTGATCACGCGTGTCATCAGGATAACACAACGTCGGACCGTACGTGCTTATAAAAATGGCAAACTTACCTCTTCCGAGTCGTAGGCGAACAGTCATCAGTCGCGCGCTGATGCCTGTTGTTTCACCCACCAGCTTGCTATGGAGGCGATCGGATAATGCAAATCCGACCCCATGATCACGTGGTGCTGATGCGGCGTTGCCCACCCATCATCATCATCAACAGGGACTTTTGTGAAAAGCTCAACCTGAGGTAGAGAGGCCTCACGAGAAAAGACACCATATACCGTTCGCTAAGTATACAAGCATTATCATAGGCGGTATGCCCACAGGTCTCGTCTGCTCGTTGTAAAGCCGGTATAGAGGAGTTTGTACCTCTGCGTTCCTTTACCTAACCAAAGAACTTTGGATTTGTTACGGATGCGTTAGCCAAATCCTCCTCGTACTGAAGACGAAGAGTTCTAAGATGTTGCTTACACTGATTTATAACCGCTCGATAGCTTTCGTAGGTGCTGGTTGATGAAGCCGTTTGGTAAGTTTTCCAACACTTAGAGCGATTGCTGAGCAGGTATTTACCAGTATGATCCATCCAAGGAGGCTGCACCCGTGTCACCCGTCTCTTAATGAGTGGGATATAGGGAGCAGAGATCTCGGTGAGGTATGCCTTAAATTTCTCCCAGGCTGTCTCGACGGTGTCAATCACGGTGATCGCGCAACGCAGAACCTAAGCTTTGTCTCGCATCGCGTTAAAGTCTGCCCCCCAAATATTTGGACATACCTCAGCGGTAGCTTGATGACACAGTTAGAGCACATTGAAAGGATATGCAGATATGGTCACTGGCTCCTAGAGGA